CGCCTGGCCCCGTCGTGGTGAGCAGGTCCGGCGAAGCGGCAGCAGCGCCTGCTCCGTCGCTTCCCACAGCTGGCTGGGCACCTGCTGGCTCCAGCTGCAGCCGCCGGCAGCGGGGCCCTCGCCATCGCTGAGGCTTTCTAAGGTTTGGGAGAGAATTGGCCTTGGTGGTGGTGTTGCCTTGGCCCCAAAGCGGGGCATTTCCTCGCTTCTTTTCCTCTTCGTGTTTCTCTGCGGACTGCGTGGGCGAGAGGAAGTGGGATCGCTCATGGGGAAGGGCAAGAAATCCGGTGACACCAGCCTGCTCTCAAGGGAGGACAAGATAAAAAGATCAACTCGCAGCACCTGGCTGTTTGTCTTGGGCGAAACGCCTTGGCCTCAGCCAGTCGTGCCCTGAGCTTGCAGCTGAGCGGTCCAAAGGGCCACCCCAAATCACTCTCCTCCCACACTCACGGCAGCCCTGGCCGCGTCACATCTCCAGACGGGTCTGCAGAGGGGCAGAGTGGAGAACGCCACATTTCTCTGAAGTCCTCTGGACTTTCATCATTTGGAGCCCAATCCGGTTCCCAGACCTCTTCTTGCTTGGGGTGCAGAAGCTGCTTAGACAAAACACCCCCTGACCACCGTGGGTGATGCTCAGCCATAGCCAGGCTCCCACTGCAGGCACAACCTTTTGGGAGGCTTTGGAGGACGCCACCCTTGGTGACCCACTTGCCCAAGGCCATGTAAAAAGCCTTGGAGACAGAGGAGCATGGCTCGAAACACCTGCCTCCAGGGCCCACATCCTCCCGTTCTCCTCCCAGGAGCCGCAAGCCTTACCCAGCAAAGTCACAGCCTTGAGCCTTTCTTCCCATGGCTGGTTGTGCAACGTCCGCTTGGCACCTGGACTGCAACTGCTTCCCTGTTTCGACTTTATCTTCTCTCCCATCCTGACACCGCAGAGACTTCGGCAATGCCCACGCCATGCCTGACTGTTCCCATGCGGGGGGTGCAGGCCAGGCACGCTGTTGTCACTGCTGTGGGGGATGAGAAAGCACTAATACCCCCGGGGCTCATGGTGAGGAGAAGACAGGAAGGTACACCTCCATGGTTTCGTCCGCCCCCCTGCCCTTTGCACCAGGTTGAAAATCTTCTAAACCTGTCCCACACCTCCCTCCTCTTCAACAGTGCCTGAGTCTGGCGAAGAGCAAGGATAAGAGAAGGGGGTGGAGGGGGGGCGACATCGCTGCTGTGGGTACCTGCCGCTTCCAACTCCATCCCAGCAACGGGATGCTGCTGCCCAAACAGGGCACTTTGGAAATCTGTGCAGCCCCTTTCCCTAAGGTGCTTTTGCTCCAGGGGCTTTGGGGGCTGAGCTTTCATAGCTGGGCCCCCGAAGGGCATTCCCCAAGGTCCCCCTGCCCCTCCAGCCCTGCTGCTGGCACAGGTCTAGCACCACGGGTTTGGAAAAACAGGTGCGCCAGCCACCAAGAAGCACTGCGGCGCATTTGCTTTCTAATCTTTTCCAGATGTCCAAGAAGACTCCGGCTGGCCAGAAAGATCTTCCCAGGCCCTTTAGAGCTCTCCTTCCCAGGAAGCCCTTCCAGCCCCGCCTGGCTCGGTCCTGCTCCCTGGGCTCGAGGAGGGACACCGGGGGAGCCCGGTCTCTGGCCGCTCACCCCGGCTTGGCCCTTTTCCCGCGGGTGCTGCGGGACGCTGGAATGCGGCGCGGCCCCGACGTGTGTGCGCGTCGGCCGCTGCTGCCTGTGCAGGCGTCTCCTCTGCAGGCCGGCGGGAGAGCGCCTCCACTGCTGAGGATGCGGGAACGGTGCCCTGCAGCAGCCCCGGCGAGGCGGTGCTGAGCACCATTAAAGGCCAGCAGGCCCCAGCCCTCAGCACGGGGTGGTCTGCTGGGAAAGAGGAGGAGCGTCCCCATGGCAGCCCCGGCCCCTGGCAAGCGATGAGGAGGACGCCTTGGCCTTAATGCTCAGCTGGGCGCAGCGTCCCCACTTCTTCCTCATCCTTGAGAGGGGTTTCCCCGCGGGAATGTGGAGCTGAGCCCTGGGGAGGGGGAGATGCTGGCCATTTAGTGGGAGCTGCTTGGAGGATAAGCGGAGCTGCACTTCCCACAGCGTCCCCCTGTGAGCACCGGCTGGAGATGTGCTCTCCAGAGCGGTTGTGGAGTCTCCTTCACTGGAGATATTCAAAACCGCCTGGACACGATCCTGGGTAATGTGCTCTAGGTGACCCTGCTTGAGGAGGGGGGTTGGACTAGATGATCTCCAGAGGTCCCTTCCAACCTCCGCCGTTCTGTGATTCTGTGATTCTCACCTGGTTGCAGAACCCAGGTCTCACACTCACACCCCAACCTCCTCCTCCGGGGGACACCCCTGCAACCTCCTCCCAGCAGCCAAGCCCCCTACCCAGCCCTAAACTCGCCCCCACCTGCTGCAGGAGAGCATGCAGGTGCAGAACGCAATGCAGATGACCTCAAAGCTTTCCCAGTGCCAGGCCTCACTGATGGAGAAACCAAGCTGTGGAGGAGGAAAACCCACGAGCAGAGCCCTGAACCTTTTTTCCAGAGCCATCTTTCCTAGAGGGAGGGAAAGCAAGCAATGTCTGGGCTAGAAAAACACCTAGGAGAGAAGGAAGGAGTGTGAACCTCCAGCCTTCTCCACAGGGGCCAATGGAGGAGGACAGGGGACTTGAATGGCCAGTCTCCTGAGCGGGTTTCCTCCCCTGTCTGCCTCACAAACCCTTCTCCAGGTATCCCTGGTGCCATGGGGGGCTGCTAATGCAGCAGAGGACCTGGCTGCAGGCAGGGGCTGTGGCTGCTTTTCATGTCCCCCTCGCCTCTCTCATGCTCGCTCTTTCAGCAGGTCCCTGTGGTCTCCAGGGGTCATTACAGGTGTCAGGTTTGGGGCAGCCAAGAGGGAATTTTGGAGGAGGGAGGTGGCAGAGAGCAAAAGGGGATGCCTTAGCAGAGCAAGAAGCAGGTTGAGGATATTTTCCCTGCACAGGGGTTGATAACGATGGGAAGAAAAAAACCTATCTAGCTTTGCCTGAGGATACTGCGACTGGAAACGGGGTGGGCTCTGGTGCAGCCTGGCAGGGTATGTGCACAGCCTAGGAGATGTGGGGTATGTGCCGGGGGCAGGGGTGACCCCGCTTCAGCATCCTCCAGCTACGGTAGGGACAGACGGGTCTTGCCCAGCGTCCTCAGCTCCTACAGCCTCAGCTAGCGGGGCCTTGGGTCCTGCCCTGCTCTGTGGTGAGGTGCCGCAGCTGCCCTTCACCCCGCGCTGCTAGGTGCCAGCTCCCTGTTTCGAGACCTGTGGTTGCCCCTTTGCAGCTGTGCGCAGGGCGAGCGAGATGATTCAGCCTCACTAACGGTGACTCCGTCGCGGGCGCCCTCGTCCCTTCCTTTGCTGCACGCAGGCAGCTCCTGCACGGAGCCGGCCGGGGCTGGGAGCGGGCGCGAGGGCCCAAAGGCTGCTGCCCCAAAGTGGTCCCCGTCCCGCGAAGGTGCCTCTTTCCCCCCTCTCCCACGTGCTGCACCGCTTCTTGCAAAGCTGAGGATCAGGGACCCCCCCACCAGCATCCCGGAGCCAGCAGCACCACCTCCCGGGAGCATGCAGACAGCACCAGGGTGCCCGGAGCATACTGAGGTGTCAGGCCATGCTTGTCACTTGGTTGGGGAGGGGGGGAAAAATGCACACATCCCCCCCCGCCCAAACTGCCACCCCTGAGCCTTCGGCATCCCTTCTTCATCAGCCCAAGCCTTCCTCCTGGAGGGAAACGCTAGCTAAGGCCCCCATCCCTCCCTCCTGCTCCTGCTCCTGCTCCTCCTCCTCCTCCTCGCGCGGCGGGGAGCCAAGCTCTCAGCCAGGGCCGAGGCTGAGACGCGTCCCTCCAGGGCAGGGGTGCAGGAGCAGGGCGCTGGGGCGCAGCCGCCAGCGGAAACGGGGCAGACGGCAGGCGGGACGGGGGGCC